GGAGGGGATTTATCCCCCCTGATGTGTGTAAGTAAATTAGGGACAACTCTATTTCCTTTTCCAGGTAATCTTCGCCATTTCTCACTGACAATGTGGCCGTTTTTCATAAAACTTCAGGCATTTTGAAGCGAATCCTGGGCTGGTGAGAAATCCTCCTTTCATCATCCTTTGGTGGTGAAATTGAGCTTGTGTGTTTGTGTAAATGATATGATTGTCAGATTAGGTCTCCCCCACTTTATCTCTGCCCCCTTTCCTGTCAAGCTACTGTCAGTAAAGGCCACTAGAGCCAACAAAATCTTTAAAAAAAAAAAAAAAAAAACTGTGTGAGTCAAAGTGCGTCACTTTTATTTCACATTGGATGGAAGGTTTTGATTTGCGTGTGTGACATTGCTCGTAAATGACATGTTTATCACATGTCATCTCACACCTTTTAGGTTTCACAAGTCCCCAGTCAGGATATGAACTCACTATGAGCTATTGATTTATTCCATTTTGAGTTCTGATTATAACAATTATCCTGTGATAAAAAAAACTTTTTTTTATTATCTACAATGTTTATCTACATGTGGTGATGTCTCATATGTTTTCTGATTCAATTATATCCATGCCCACCCAACTGGAGCATATCAGGACAGGGCTAAACAAAGATAAAGACAAACAACAAATGCTTACACACATAGATAGATCTGAGAAGCATTATTTAAGATAATGTACTATGGACATTGGGGAAAATCTTAAATCTTTGGAGATTATATGGAAAAGTAAAAATAAAAACAAATCATTCTCGCAGCCAGGATTCACAGCACGAGAGCTAATTTGTCAAAATATAATTTTTCTTGTATTAAGCCTGTTTGTTTTAAGCTTTTGCATTTTAACAAGGTTTATCAAAACTTGGCAATGCCAGATACAACAAAAGGTTTCTAAATGACAAAAGTATATGTAAACCGTTTAGCTGAGCTGTCACAAAAACTAAGACGAGTATTAAAACTTGTATCGGTGAAGTGACAATACCAATCTGTCAGTGTAATTACTTCAAAATGAAAAATTATTTTCTGTTTGTACAGCGTGAGAAGGTCGAATTACTTTGAAATAAAGTAATTTCACAAAGTCACAAAGTCAAAGAGAACATATGTAACTATTAGTAATGTTCATTATGTTACATTAGAAAATAAAAATAGAATTATACTTGTATGTGTATTCCTATTGTCAATTTAAAAGTTGTTTTGGAACCTGAAATAACAAAAGAGCAGAGGAACTCTGAGTATTCTTTGGAATATTCTTTCATGGATTTTCACCGCTGGACACCTGACATGAGAGGTGCTCGTGAGGATGTCAGCAACTCTGGTTTGGTAGGAGTTTGCCAGAGGGATAGAATGTGACATTTGTTTGCCTCGAAGAGATTGTTGTGCTTTTGTAGAAGGAAGCCTGTTTTTTTGCCACCACCTTTTAATCCTATAACATCTTATCTGTCATATTTAATGCACACGGTATCTGAACTGTTTTGCATTTGAGACCTTTTTCATCATTTGATAGCAAAAATGTTGCTCCAAATCCTAGTGTACACAATCAGATTTAGCTGAATATAGCAGGATGAAAACTACACCACAATAAATTTGACCTATCACACGGTAATAAATTGTAAATATTCAAAAATGATTTCTATTACTGCATATTTTGTTGAAGAACCGAATAAAGACATCAAATCTAAAAAGAACCTTTCTCTATTTTTCAGGCTTTAAAGGGTTAAAGTGAAAATGAATGCTCCTCACTCACAGCTGGGAACCAGTTAAACACTTAAAGCAAAATTTCTAGAGAACATATCTCAAATTATATGCATTCTAACAACAGGAACGGAGCCAAAGGAGCTAGTTCGGGGCTCACTAGACACCGGAGTGTAAGTTACTGAGGTTTTTAAACAGGTCTGCAGTGCAAAGGCCCCAAGGTTGGAGGAAAATTACCGTGATGGTTTCTCTTGTTTCAGTCATTCGGAAGCTTGTTTGGAACGCTACCATTTCACTTATGAACCAGGCCAGTGGTCCGTCTTTTTACAAAGGAAGAACAGAGGCGGTGTTCTTCTCAGTAGCGGACCTTAATGGAGAACCAGGTTTTCCAGTTCCAAATGAATATCAGAATAAAGGTTGGATGTGAATACTGCTAACTGACACAGGGTAAGGTTAGCTTGTCATACTGTTAGTATATTATTTTCTCAACTGACTAATTCTCAGAACCGGTCTGACTCATCACCATTTGATACTCTCTCTATCCAAAAGTAATAAATCAAACGGAGGACAAAGAAACGGTTAAACAAGGACTAAAGAAAATGTAACACTACCAAACGGAATGGAATCTCACTGGACTGGCAGAAGATTTTCGTTTTTCATGTTAGTACCCCCTAAAAAAAATATTTACTTCCCGTTACCAATGACAGACTGGGACTCATTTCAAGGTAGCACCACAGATGGGCTCCAAAACCTACATGTTAAGAACCATATAAGTCTGCCAACAATGTGTCAAGAAAACACAATGTTATGGGATCAAACAACAAAGTGGAGCCGAAACGTGGAGCTGGTTTCTCCTCAAGTCAAGACTGCATTATTTTCTTAGCTCCTGCCTGTGTGGAATGTATTCAAAGTGGTTTGAACATGCACAATTTCTTTCCATATTCGATTTTTCCAAAACAGGGGGAACGATTTGCCTTTGCCCCCTTTCGCTGTACCTCCAGTACATTTTGAATATTTGAAAACACAATTTTGCCCAATGTGAGATTTTCTTATTTGACATTTGCAAACTCTTTTCCTCGAACTTCTTCAGCTTTGTTTCTTTTTTTCTTTTGCATTTCTTTTGCCCTTGGGCCTTTTTCATGTTTGTCACCCATCCTGTTTCCTAATAGATACAACGGTTAGTAGGAAGGTACAATTTTCAGTAATCTGTCTCTAAAAATATCACTTTCCATTGTTTTGTTTTCACCAACAAAAAAAAACAGTTCACACTCCGGCTGCAGCAATAACTCATCCAGAACCTACGACGCAGGTCTTGACACATTAAGTTAATTCTTCTGCTCAGAGAGAGAGAGAGAGCCCCAGGGACATGCTGTTCTGATGACTGTCCCTTTGAGCTATTTACACACGAGTGGCCCAACACTCGATGCATGCAGTGTGGGAGTCAGAATAACTTCAGTTTGGTTTTACTGTGACAAAGTCGTCGAAAATGTCGTCGACTCACTACCTGTCCCTGACACATGCAGCTTATGCAATGGCTCCTCTATGTTCAGTGTTACGAAATGTGTAAAGAGGGACCAGGGTGAGACTTTTAGACTGTCTGTCCTGGGTCTGCTTGACTTGGCATTGATTTAGAGTCATTATCAAAGCATTGAGATGAAGTTCTAACTTATATAGCGATTAGTTCTGTAAGCTAGACTCTTTATTTGGAAGCCTGAAAATAAGCCCTAGCAGATCAAGAGTACAAATACGAGATTTATTGGTCACAAGTGAAGTAAATCAGCACTGGGCTCTCGCAGACAAAGTTCCCAGAGGATCTCAGTTGGCAAGAGAACCGAAATCCGGGTGTGATGGACATTTATCTTCTGGGCCGGGCCCGCCCCGTACACCAAGAGGACTGGACACGACCGAGTGTTATTGGCCACTGACATGATCAGGTTAGCTCTTAATTCATGCAGATTACACTGGAAATTGATAAGAAAGTGTACGTGTGGATGTGGAATTTAAAATGTGTATTTAATGTAACATAGAGAAGGAGAATCTTTGGGCAAAGTTAAACACAAGAGTGTAGCCCTTAAAGGAATAAGACAATCAGTAATTTACATAGATTATGTTAAAGCATACAATGCTAAAGTGAATAACTATAGCCCAGTTCTAACAGATCCGTAAGTTACCTTAAATACCTTGTTGTTTTAAACATTATTACTTTGTTCAGGCTTTACCAGTGGCGGCTGGTGAAAAAAATTCTTGGTGGGGCTCGTGTGCCAATAGATTTCCCTGCCAAACCCAGTACATGCATTCAAGTTAAAAGTCGTAAAATTAGTACAATTCCACAATAATGATTTAATTCCATTATCAGAATCAGCAGTTTACATATACAGTTAACCATTTAAAGCTATATTAGGTCTTATTTTGGAAAGGAACTGTATGAAATACAAAACTCATTTTTACAATTTGTCACCAAACACACAAAGTAGACACACAGGTGGTTAGCTTAACACGGTTAGCTTAACATAGTTTTATATATAAACTCGTGATATTTCATGTAAAGGTTTAGTGTTGAGATGAGGTATTAGTCATATAAGATTTGAAGAAAACTTAGAGGACTCTTTTTTCGGGATTTGTGTTTGATTTCATTTCAAGTTATGGGACTTTGACTGGATTTCTTTTTAAGGGGTGTTTTGAAATAAGTTTCACAATGTTGTTGGAGTGACAGTTACCGTGCGAGTTGACCCTTTTTGATTGACAGTAAGTAGCTGGTTCAAATCCCCTGGGGCCTTTCTGCATGCAGTTTGCCTGTTCTCCCCGGGCCTGCATGGGTTTAAGGGAGAACTTGCAAACTCCATGCAGAAAGGCCCCCAGCTCTCCGGGGATCTGAACCTGGATCCCTCTCACAGTGAGGCAACAGTGCTAACACCAGCATAAAGCTTCTGCTAAATACACATATGTAAATATAAAACGTGATTTAAGATATTACCATTCAATTTTAGTTCTGATTTTAAAAAAGTGTTTTGGCAGTACTCTTTAACAGGCAAATAAATGGAACATCTCTCTTATTTCTATATTGGATTCCAGTTTAAATCTAAATGTGACAGAAAGTATGCCATTAAAAATGGTGCTTTCCAAGTTTGGATGCGGCTGTGTGCGACGCCTTTTGAGATTTGTGTTGCTTTTAGCCAAATGAACCTTGTTACCACACAGTGCTGAAATAATATCCAAAGATATACATGTTGTGAAAATAGAAAAAAATGAAATAGACATCACTCAGAGGTTCGAACAACCTGAAGATAATGAAAACCAAACCCAAAACTTTATTGATTTTTAATATGCGCATACAATATAAGCAAACAGTAAAAACGAACACCAGTTCAGGGTTTGCATGCCCCCGAATTATATTTTGTTAAATTGCAGAGAGGTGCTGGAAATTGATTCTGAAAGAGTGTATATGTGTACATGTTTCCGTATAAAACTGTATTTAGTTAATTATTAAAGATGTTGGAACAAGCACTTCATTTTTCACTGATATGTTTGATATAATCGGATTTCTTTTCGGTAACATATACACATCATCAATCCCTGCATCCTCCCTGCACGACAAAAACTTGATGTAAAACTGCAGCACGAAAGGAGTATTATTATATTCTCATCTTAAGTAATCTAAGTATATAAAGTTGTACTTGTTGCTAAAACAAAACACTAAACCAATATGACACATAATACCACTCTTAAAATTATATGGTGGATAAAACGCATTAAGTTCACATAAAACAGAATCAAAGCTGTAATAGTTCCCTTTTCTTTTAAATGTGTTGATAAACTTATCATTAATAAACTTTTATTATTCATTTCTCTACCCAATGAAAAAACCCAGCATTAAAAAGTAGGAAAATTTTGTTTAAAAAAGATGTGTTGTCCATATTACCGTTCATATCAAAAGTATTTTAAAAAACAATAATATCTGTATTAATGCTGATTTCACCTCGTTAAAAAACAGACAAATATTTGCAGTTAGACATGGTTTGCATCTTACAAAAAAAAACATTGCACGTGACCATTCACACTCATGAAACAGCTTGTGTACAACACATGCCATTAAATTTAACTGGTTAAACTACCAACACATCCATATATCACCAACACATATTAACCATGACTGCCCACCACCACTAACTGGAATCATAAAACAGGTATTGACAGTGTACTACCTTGTAATTCCAGTTAAGTTTCAAATGGATTTAACCCATCAATTACATTTATTTCAGACAACAAAAATCACATTTTGTTTTAAGTCAGAAAAACCTTTTTGTAGAAGAATTTAATACACATCTGAAGATGTGATATCAGCTCAAAAAACGTCAGAAAAATACATTTTAAACAAATGGTAAAATGTCTTGAAGTTAGTCATTATTAGGTAGCTCTTCTGACAGCCAATGAGCTTAGATCATCACATTTCCATCTAAAGTTATGGGGAGCCTTAAATGTAACTGCATTCACTCCCCATCATCACACTATAATTAATAATTGTCCTCTAATGTAAAAGCCCCTCAGTTACAAAAATAAAAAATCCTGGCAGTAAATCAAAACTTCAACCTTATTAATGTAGTTATTGGAATCCCAGATTAAATGCTTTACAAATGTCTAATAATTTTTTATGTAAAATCAAATGCATCATAACTTTCACAGGTATGTCAAACATTACCAGGTCCTGCAAAATTTGAGTTACACAGCTGCATTTCAAATATTGCCACAGAATTTGAAATCTTAATCTTGAGGGACACACTTACTTGAGGACAACTTGCTACTTTACTGTAGCAAACAATGCAAGTTTCACAGAAACCAACTAATGCGCATCTTATTTTTTCTGTACAGAACGGTTAAAAAAAAAACCTGAGTTAAAGCCAGGCTTTTTTTTTTACCACACAGAACACTGGATGCTTTTCGTAACAGGCCTGAACTCATATCCTTTGTAGAGAAGAACCGCTGGATTGCAGTCTCCCGAATATGAGCTCAAGGCTGAAATAACTCAGAACATTACTGTCGGGGTTTCAAAAATGCCCTGGAGGGCAAGTGGCGTGGGAGCTCAGCCCTCTCTGAGCTGCATTCGTCAAACCTCCTGAGAAAGAAGAACAAAGCGGCAATTACAAACACGAATGAATAGAAGCTCGAAACACGGCAGCAGATCTACAGCAGAGGGCCTCGGGGGGCTCATCAAGGTCCGTCCAAAAGCTCTGCCTGATTGAAATGCTGCAGTGGGACCTTCAAAGAACTGTGAACAAACCGATGTAGCAAACCTGAACGAGAGTGGGCCATAATGTGTGAAACTGAGAGAAAGAGCTAACTCTATATACACTTTATACAGTAACTCAACTAGCTGTGCAGGCCCAAACACATTTAGACCAATCTTCTGCTCAAGAAGCCAGTGATGTAAGAGGATTGTGTAATCAAAGAAGATGTGCGGCATTTTGTATGACTGACATTGTCTCAAAGCAAAATGTTCATGTTAAAAGAACAGCAAATATGTAGAATGCTGTCTATTTAAAGGTAGGTCTGTGTGCTTCAGGTATCTTTAAAGATAAACTTAATTCCAGTCCTCAAGGGATGAAGACCATTTGAAATATGTCAAATGTGCGTACCTCTGACTGACAAAAGACAAACCGCAAAAAAACAGAACCCATTATTCAGGTGGCGTGTGTGTTGTTGGACAGGAATGCTGTTCCACAGACAGCAGCTACGTCTTTAAGCTGAGACGTCTGACAGAAGCAGAGCTGAGAAATGCGGCCCGGCCAGACTTCAGTCGGTGCACGATGTACCATGTTGTCTGCATTAAGTCTAACAGATGGAAAAACACTTGAGCAGCAATGTGAATGTGTGTCATTAGCTCAAATCCAGTGCAATCTGGCAAGTAAACCCTGAGCCATGGTTCTGCTCGAGGTTTCTGCCTGTTAAAAGGAAGTTTTTCCTTGCATGTGTCGCCTAGTGCTTGCTCATGGTGGGAATTATTGGGTTTCTGTAATTATCTTCAGAGTAGGGTCTGACCTGCTCTGTTTGTAAAGCGCTTTGAGACAACTGTTGTTGTGATGTGGCGCTATATAAATAAAATGTAATTGAATTGATTTGAAGTAAAGAGGACCCATACCTCTCGTAGACTGTCCAACAGCGGTGTGGAGGTAGCTGTCCATCTGCAGCAGACACTCGAACGTCTCCATCATTTGCTCTTGCTGCAGCATGTGGAGCCTCACCGAAGTGGAAGATCTGCTGCTCCTCACCTCGCAGATGCTTTTCTTGAGGGCCACGGAAGCACACTGCAGGGCACTCATTCCTGAGAGCAAACACAGGCACCAGTCACTAATCCCCTGAACACCGAGATCTAGTCGCAACTAAAAAAGGCTCGTGGGGTAGAATCTGACACATCCACCTAATGTGAAGTCATCAAAGACAACTTCAAAAGGTGGCTGTCAAATTTTAAATAGATTTCAAAACCTGACAGATTAGCCTTTGAGGAAAAACCAGTTCAGAGGATCTCTTTTCATGCTTTTTTGTTCTGGTCATGAGTCGAACTGCGGCAGCATTCTAAAACGATTGTCTGACCAATAATCAAATACAGTTGTCAAAGTCAGAGTGGACGAAAGCACAAATACATTTCTGCCAATCAGCGACTGAAATATAACTAAAAACTGACTTAAGTTGGAAAAAATAAGATTGAACTACCCCAATAAACTAAAGTTAGTCAGATATTACGGGTACTCCAAGATGTTTTGGTGATATTATTTGATTGCCAAGTCTTGTAATGATAAACCTAACAAATTTGGGAGGACCAAACAAAATGAGTTATTTTTGTGATTATTTTACCAAAGAGATAAGCCAGGGATCCAGGGATCAGAGGGCCCCATGGGGCTGTACAGCCGGGTGAACACCAGCTTTAAGATGCTCATTTACACTATGATCTTGAATGAGCTAGACAAGAAGTAGCAAGTAAATAGAGAATAGAATGGAATCCAAGGACTGACCCTTGTGGTAGAACCACATCTGAGTCAAGCCACTATGGAGGTCATACCCACCAGAGAGCCTAAAAGAGCTAAATTCAACATTCCAACCCAGGGCTCTCTTCTTTCCTACTTAGTAGTAGGTCATTTGTCACCTTAACAATGGATGTCCTGCTGTTACGGTGTGCTCTATCATCAATGATATCTATAAACAGGTGACTTTTTCAGAGGTTTTAGATAAAAAAACGTTTCATTAGAGATGTGGGATCTAGACTGGATCATAGTAGTGAAATCCACGTGATTTTTAAGTTATCTGTTCATTCTAAACATGGGCCTTTATTCATTCACTGTCTGTCAGAAGGGAAATGAGTCATCTTTAGTTTTTGATTCTTGCTTCATTGTTAAAAACAAATTCCCAGCAGTGACACGGTTGAGTTGAGGGTTATTAAAAAAACTAGTTTGATGAGGAAGTGTTTTCAACTCATGAAAATCAAATCAGAATGTATGAGTTCACAGTGCTTACCACAATAATCAGCGGCCTCAACATCAATGTAGACCCCATCCATCATTGTTTGTTTCAGGACCTGTACATAAACAGAAATATAGCTCAAATACACACAGAACAGGCTACAGCTAGTTTGAAATAGCAGTAGGACTATTTCATGACTAATTCATGTGCAGATACTTTCTTCTTTTAATCTAAAATTTAATGTTTTGTCCAAATATTTAATCAAAGTGGCAAATAAACTTTTTAAGTGTCCCAATTTGCTTTTGACTTTCTGAAAGAGAACAACAAATTATCCAAGAGGTTCTGAGTCACAGTCTGAAACAAGCTCATCGGTGTTACCATCTACTCCATTCAGCATAACTCTTTTACAGAAAGCAGATGTGAAGTGACTTCAGGTGTCATGAGGAAAGATGCTTTCAGCTCTCAGCCAACCGCACAACTATAATTAAAACTATGAGCGTCATGCTGGCATGTCCATCTGAGGTGTAAAAGGCTTTTTACCCTGTCCTATACCTATGAAAATCACTCAGCCAAAAACAAATATGTCTGAGTAAACTGTAAGCTTAAATCAGTGGAAACTGAACCTGTAATAATCTCTACTACACCAATCATTTAGGACAAGCCACGATAACTTTGTTCAAAAATTCATTTGACTGACAACAATTGATTTAGATTTTATTCCTCTCTTTTGCTGTTTTGGTCAAAAAGCTTCCTTTGAACTACTCTGAGAGATTTATTCCAGGCCACCCTTCCCTTCACTAAGTGAACTGTGGTAACCTGCTTATGAAATCTTGATAAGAGCGACCTCGTTCCATCAGTTGCAACTCTGCAACAAACATACCATTCGGAATTGTAACACATGAATTCTCCTTTCTTTGTGTCACACATACAAGGAAATACTATCATTAACTTAGAGAGAATTTAGTTTATGTGTTCAACACTAAAAAACTGACACAGTTAACTCCTAAGTGGGACATTTGAATTCCATTGAAATTACAATTAGTATTTGTGTTTGTATAAAGAAAAGAAAAATCCTTAATAAAATTATTTTGATTGAAAAAGTAAGTGTGAGTAATGCTAAAGATTGGACATTTGCGAGAGGATATTTTCTTTAAAAAGTGGGGAAACTGTTCTTTGTGGGTTTTGGAATTTTCTTTCTGCACCACTTTGTCGACCAACTCCTTTTTTTGCCCAAATTCTATTACCTGTGTGTGAAATATAACATGACTAATAAAACGGCACACAACACGGCCATCTCTAAACACAACGGGACACTAAACGACAACCAGAACAAAACAGAAAATCCAACCTCCAAGACTCGGATGTAGCCTTTCTCAGCACTGAGATGGAGGCAGGACTTTCCCAAACTGTTTCTCTCATTGACGTCGGCCTCTAGATGGATCAAATCCGCCATCATGAGGTGCTGGTTGTATTTTGCCGCGTAGAGCAAAGCAGTCTGTCGGAAAAACAAACACAAAGGAAACATTAAGCAATGGATGCTATCATTTTAAATTGTGTGTATCTGACGGCTCAATATTTCATGGCCACAGTTGCTGGGACATTTTATAGTGGAAGAACGATGGAGTACCATTCCGTCACAGTCTTTGACGTCCAGGCTGTTGATCGCCGCCATCCTTTTTGCAATGGCGTAGCCAAGCGCCCTCTTCCCAACGCACACCACGTTATGAAGAGCTCTGCGAGGAAAAGTAGTAGTAGTAGTAGAAAATGTTTGTAATCACAGTAATTACTGACACACAGCTGGATCACAGCCTCAGGCAATCTGTAAGAACATGTTCGAGTTTTATGGCCCTAATGCGCCCCTAGCACTTGTTTTGATGTGATTAGGTTAAGCAAGAGGGCAGGCGCAGTTACTTATGTTGAGTTACTTTTATTTAATTCAAACAATACCTTATAATAAGCGATTTTTTCAGATACTGGTTAAGTTGGTACGCTCTTAATGGGATGGACTCAAGCAGCTGTCTCAGTTAAAAATGCTGATTAGGATGTTTTTTGGTTTGTTTTTTAACCCTTTAAAGCCTGATCCAAGAATAAAACAAAACTGAAAATTACTTTTTTTTTTGTTTGAATTCCTTATATGACCTTTTAACAAAATATGTAAAAACAAAAAACAAAAATAAAATATTAATATTAATAATTTATTACTATGCGATAAATCAAGATTATTTTTTGTGTACTCTTCTGCCCCCTGTTATCAGGTGTAAAATAGGATTGTGAGCAAAGTTTTTATCATTAAATTATGCAAAACATTTCAGAAACCGTATGTATCAAATATGATACATTTGGCATTACAGGGTTCACAGGAAAGAAAGTAATTGAACCAAACTGGTTCAAGTCTGGTTTAATGGCTTCTCTAAACAACACAGATATTCTATACTGAAAAGGCCTGCGTGACCTGTTTAGATGTGATATGAGTGGCATATTTTAGTGTTTTACTCTGCCCTTTTTGTTTGAACCGTGTTGTTTTTGGTCCCAAATGGACAGGAGTGACACTAACACCAACGATAATCCATGATATCGAGGACTGCGTCTATATTCGGCCTGTAAAAAGGCGGAGGCATCAGTCGGCGAACACTCATGTGACCGTTTTGAGTCAAACCTACGTTCTTCCGTGTTCGTCTGTCATCAGCAGCTCTGCATCGGAGACGCCCCTCAGCCGGTTCTCCTCTTTGCCCAGCTGCATCCAGAAAAACGCGGAGCCGCTCACATCCTGGCGGCAGCTCCGAAGATCCGACCCGTCCTCTCCGCTTTCTCCGCCGATTAGCATGTTTTCGGCGCCGGAGGGCTGGTGTCTGGAGAACATGCAGTCGGGGGGGGGCACGCCCTGGCAGAAATCGGCCATGCCGGGGGAGAACGTGGTGTAGGATTCCGGACTAGGAAGCATGGCGTCGTCCTCGTCCCTGTATCCTGGGAGAGATAGCGTGGAAAGATAACTTGTTGTATGCGAAACCGAAACGAGTCGCTGTCAACTGAGGCGTCATTTTAAAAAAGAAGCTGTTGTCAGTTTGTGGGTTTAGTCGGAACATTACCAGATGGAGACATCTCTGGGTTCACCGGAGAGCTGGAGGCGGACAGATTTCCGGGCAGGGAGCGGCAGGTGTTTCCAGTTCTGAGATCCTCCTCGAGAACCTCCACGATGATGGCCAGCTCCTCCAGGCTTTTCATGGGGTCCATTATCTAAAGGTCAAAAATAATGGCAGCGCTTTGAGCGGTTTCACCCAATCCTTGGGGAAAAAAGAGCGCCCCTTTCCATCAACCCTGCCTGAAAGCAGAGATGTGAACATTTTTGTTTTCAACGCTTACCTTGTTGAAACACTTGGTGTGGTTTCTGGAACGAGCTCTGGCTCGTTTAACGCTTCCTGTGAAAGACGAAGTCAACGTTGAGTCTTAGAGCACCTACACAGCCAACTAGCATGTCGTAGGTATACGATAGCAGCTCATAGCAATGACTGAATGTCTGAAAACCAATAACCTAAAGAGATTTTTGTGACGCAATCTTATTTAATTACCTGTAGGTCCGCCGGGGCCTCTCTGCAAATTTAAATAAATTTGTGTGAGTTTTTTTCTTTGCATTTTCTTAGATGGAAACAGACACACTTCTTAACATAACCCATGTTTCATTTCAGATCTTTAGAGAAATAAAATTTGCAGAGTTAATCAAATTAGAGAGTGCAGTGCCTATCAAATTAAGTAGAAAGATTGTCCACAGTAGTGTGAATCACAGTAGTGAATCTGCAGTTGTTTTAACCTCAATTTAGAAAGGATACGAGGAAAAAGTTACATTTTACCACACTGCAAAAATCTTTCACATAATCAATTTCACTGGAATCTACATAAAAACCTGATGTGATTTTACTTTATCTGACCCATGGACACGCAATTATTTTACAGATGTGCAAAAATAAACCTCTGTGTTCTGTCTGAACAATAAAAAAAATGCAAATAATTGCATGAATAAACAAATACCCTTTGGTCTTCGGGGTCCTGGCCTTTGGACAGACGGATATTTCTCAGTAGATCTCTGACTGGCATTCTGACACGTACCCCCAGGTAAACCTTGTCACTTCCATAGATGGAACACTCTGAACCTTTACAAAAAAAAGCAGATGATCAGCTCATATGACGTATCGGAGCACATCAAACTTCCTTATCGTTCTTATATCTTCGTCTCTAATTCCAAAGAATCGTAATTTGATTAAAGTAGCTTCCGTCTTTTCCTGCGAAATCAAAACTTCAAACTCAGTGGACATGGGACTAGAAAACAGTCTTTAAATCAGGATGTGTTTTGGGGTTTTTAATGACTGAGTGGCAAACCAAAAATATATATATTTAACATATCTACTTCATCCACTTCAGGGTTGCTGAATGTCAACTAACTGGGAAATGTGCTCTATAGAAATCCGTCAATTTCCAAAAGAAAAGCAGCTTTTCTTTACCGAGTTTCCCGTCCCCCGCTTTGCAGACAGTCACACCAGGGACATCTGCATCAGGACACGAGCCAGCTCCCGCTCGGATTTTTTCCCCTTTTCTGGTGGTATTCTTTCCTGCATAACGTCCTCTCATGTCGACAAACTGTGTTGAAAAGCAGACTCAGCATCAGCATTGTAATAAAAATAAAAAAAAATCTATAGTGTCCAAGATTTGAGCAGATTTTAGCCTAAAAAAACAAACTTACTGTCCCCAGGTGTGACGGCGAGCTCTCTCCTCTCAATCCAACTCGGCTACAGGTTTTCCTGCTTTCATGCTGTCTATTATTTTGTAACGTGAGACCGGTCCTCGGAGGGAGGATTTCCACGCCTGTAATTTCAAAGGAATGTTATTCACACATTTCAGAGCAGATGCACCTTTTAGATGGTCGCCGGGGGCGTTTCTGGAGGCCCCGTATCAGAACTGACTGTAACCCCGTGGTCCACACACGTTTTTTGAGATTCTCGTAAACGTCATGCCAGAAACGTTGAGTTTGAGCGCAAAACAGCCAAAAAAATCCACATTCAGGAACGTCATGCCCCGACCAGCCTCTTGGAATAACATACCTCGTAAATCTAGTCTTTTCTCTGTTTGTTGCTGCCGCGTACGAATCTTTAAAGTATAATAATATATATAAGATTTTCTGCCTTTTGGCCTAATTTTTCTCCGTCTTTTCCAGATGATTACTATTCAGGAGAAAGGTTTGATTGTGGGGTGGTCACACTTACGTTGCATAGCTGGGACAAGAAAAGGGATTTTGGATTATTCCCTGAGGTCTGGGACCTTTCTGTGTGAGGGATATAGCACACGCACACACACACACACAGTCCAAAACCATTCATTTTAGATTATTTAGATACTCTAAACTGCAATGGACTGGAATAGAGTCCAGCACCTCTGCAACCCTACTAGGATTAACAGTATTGAGACAATGGATTGATGCTTCTCTCAGAGAGTCATTGTGGTTTTGGCTTTTTCTGTGTCAACAGAATAACAAAATGTTACACAATTTGTAATCCTCTCAAACCGATTGGATGCAGTACAAAAGTAAATTAAGTGTTAGAGAGTGTTAGAGATGTAGAAAGAAAATGGGTTCATACACTGATAATAGAGATTTGAATACACTGAAAAGGTCAAGTTGATGTTTTGAAGAGCATTTTGCACAGTTTGTGTTTTAGGCTTTATTAAGAGAGCAGAATTGCATCTGTCTTCTCTTGTTTCAGATTTATTCAAAAACATATCCTAAAAATTATAGAAATTTCAGAATTCAGTTGTTGTTTTTTTACTTTTAACATAGCTTTTACTATGTAGAGATGTCTGTACTGCGTGAGTCTCTTGTTCTGTCTTGTTCAAGCAACATGACCCAGTTATGTAGCCCACCGAAAATTAGACCTTAAAAAGATACATTGAAATTATTAAACCCTTTTTACACCCTTCAGTTCAATTCCTGCTCTGTCCACATCCCTCATCGTCTCGCTGTTGTACATGTACACACATCTCAAACAGAGCTGCGGGCCATTTTCTACATCAAGCTTCAGCTCATCCTCTGCTCCTGACTATTTGAGGCTCTACCCCTCTTCCCTCCCCCATCCATGTTCCATTTCTGCTCGGCTTGCATCATATCCCCCCCCCCTCTATTCCCCAACATTCTCCCCCACTGGCTCAGTATAAGCTCTTGATTTGCTTTCGTCTTCCCTCTTCTGCCCACATCTCCATGTGACCAGCACCTTGGTAACCATGTATATTTCTATTTGTTGTATGAAACTTCTGATGCAATATGTTGTATTTCTGATGCCCATTATTTTAAGAACGTGTCATTGGTCAGTAGCTGCATTATAATTTCGCATCAGTTCGAAACTGACTTTTAGATCTGATCCACTTTAAGGTCAAACAGTCTCCTAACTGAAAAAAAATCCACTCTTTGTCTCCCAAAATTCATTAGAAGAAAACAAGTGACTGAACAGTTGGAATAGAATTTAGAATTTGTGAAAGAAGTTGCTGTGAAAATACTCAGACGGGGGGGGGGGGGAGTGTGTTTTTCATCTTTGAAACGTTAAGCTGTTACGTGTATTTCATCGTTTCCTGTTTGTCCAAACCTAAAATTGATTTCCTGTAAAAAACAAAACACTGACCATTTCTTCAGAGTGTAAGAGCAAGACCCATGAAATAGGAAGGCAGCGTTCAAAAACTTTTTACTTAGGACAGGAGGGGAAGTCAGAGAAGACACAAACAAGCACAGAGACAAACAAAGGTTGAGGGAAATCGGACACAAGGGGATCAGAAAAGCTAGCAAAATATTGGTTTGAAATTAAAACGACTTACAAATCTGGTACGTATATCGAGAGTAATAGATTTATTTACCGATTAAGAGGTGTGTGGGCTAATTAAGGTGGTCAGGTGGTGCAGAGGGAGTGGGAGGGGAGGAAGTTATTCACATGCAACTTCATCAAACACAGCCTTGACAGGTGAGTCAAAGCTGAAGATCAAAAACCAGATTGCGAAATTCCACCTTGTTTTTTTTCTTACTGTAATTATGGGGGCCGCCTGCTTCGAAAGTGACTCACAATGATGTGTGCAAAAAGCTAAACTTGGAAAAAAACATGTTTTCATCTATAAACTTATTTACCTGGGCTGTCCACACACACAAACACAGACACACACACACACACACATTAGAGCTGTGCACGTCAACGTTTATTGCGTTGACACAGCCATTGCTGACATTTTGTTTACTGGTAAGAACACACACACACACCTTTTCATTTTCTCAGCCAACTAACTGAAGACGGAATGGAGAAAAGTATCGGACAGTTACAGAGACATTTAGTTTCAAAACTATTCCCTATACCACAGTAGTACTTCCAGTCTGAAATGTAATTTAAATACAAAATGTGCTTTATTGCCGCAGCAGTAAATAACTTTTGGCTTGTATTTAATTTGAAATGATGCGATCTGATTGTGTTTGTGTTCACATTTCTTAGAAATATAAAGATAATACCTTTTTTGTTCAAATATTTGCATTAAATGTCATTGGGTTTTTAATAAAGCCTGAAAATGCTATATGATTCATTAAATCAAGTGCATAATAATGCAATCACTTTTTTTTTTACATTTCCCAGTGCATATATACATACAAAATAAGCGATACGTAAAATATATTTCTTTGTCATAAGCATTATAAACATTTAGAAGGACATTTTGGCAGGAAATGTTTCAAATGAGGCCAGCATCTTTAAAAACTGTCAGCTGCCTCAGGCCGATTTAAGACAAAAACTTCCCTCTTGACCCCCTTTCCATGATCCATGGACTCTTATGTTCTTGGAGGGTCTTTGGAGAATTTGCGGATGTCATTGAAGCAAACAAACATGAAGCAGTTCAGGAAATCTCTAAGGATGTCATTTACAAGAGTTTGAAAAACTGCCTGGGCATTGCAGAGTTCAAACGGCATCACTAGATACCCAAAGTGGCCGATTGGGGTTTGGAAAGCGGTTTTCCATTCATCACATTGTCATACTTAGACCAGATGGTACGCTTTTCGGAGGTTGAGTTCTATGAAAGCGGTACTACCTTGAACAAGTTCAAATGGCGGCAAAATTAAAGGGTATAGGCCAGGGTATTTATTTTCATGGCAATTTTCTTGAGGCCTCTGTAATCAATGCAGGGTATGGGGCATCCATCTTTTTTTAACTTAAAAAGTTACCTGCTCCAAAGGGGGAGGGTGCTGTCATAACTTCTATCATTATCGTCAGTATTAATATCATTGCTATTTTTCATCCAGTCTATGTGTTGCTGTGTTGGCTGCCTCTCTCTGCTCCCTCTGTCCTTCTCTCACCCTCTCTCTCTCTTGCCCTCTCTGTCTCTCACCCCCAACCGGCCGAGGCAGATGGCCGCCCACCCTGAGCCATGGTTCTGCTCGAGGTTTCTGCCCGTTAAATGGAAGTTTTTCCTTTCCTGTGTCGCCTAGTGCTTGCTCATCTTGGGAATTGTTGGGTTTTAGTAGTTAACTTCAGAGTAGGGTCTGACCTGCTCTGTTTTGGAAAGCGCTGTGAGACCACTGTTGTTGTGATGTGGCGCTATAGAAATAAAATTGAATTGACTTGAATTGAGTGGCGTAATGCCAGCACTTAGCAAGTCTTGGATGTAACGTTCCATAGCGGCTCTTTCTGGACAGGAGATATCAAAGAGGTGACAAGATGGCAGCTCCAGGTAGAATGTCAATAGCAGTCAATAGGTCGGCCATCCACAGCCGAGAATTTGAGGGGCGATATTAACGGCTTAATCCCAATGTTGTTGAACAATGGATAAATCAATGTTTTGGGGGTTGTTTTTTTTGCATCCTGAGATAACCAGAGCACTAAAAAAAAGCAAGACAATCATAGCTTGGCATCAGATCGTTCCCAGGAGGACAAAGTTATGGAAATCCAAAACGGTTATATCTTTTTCAGAAGTGGGATACACGTGGGAACGTTTTCTCCGGAGAGGAATCAATCAAAAGGTTCAACACTCAGGTGCCGGAGAACTGTCAGCCCCCCGACATACTCCATCATCTGGTAATCACTAACGCTTTCCAAGTGTGCATAAACACCGTGTACGTCTACCCTCCGGGTATTGGTCCTGCGGCGCCCTCAGGTGGACCTGGAAAAATGACACTACCCACACTGAACAACGTCCCAGGTCTCTGACAACCATCACTTCTTCCAATAAAAAATCTATTTTGTATGGATGTTAAGATGTATGGTAGGAACATATGTACATACAGTATATGCATAGACCTGGTTAATGTTGTTTCAGTACTCCTTGGATGTATTTGTATTTGTCATGATAACTATTTTTTTGTCTCTCCTTTTCTTTATGGTCTAAGATGTATATGTGTATATAAATGAATGTTTTATTGCTTATGATCTTGAGGGTAGACGCACAGTAGTTCTGAGGGGTGAGGGTTGGGGAGTGCAATTTGAAATGTTTAAAACACCTAAATCTATATCTTGAGCCAAGAATGTAACTCTGTTTTGTGTTTAATAAAACAATATTTAAAAAATAAAAAAATTGTACTTTTTTTGGCTGTTATTCCATTTTGTTTTCTGCACCAATATACTCAATTGCAAATAGTCTGTCTTGTTCCATGCTCAATACACATGCACGATATGTCCTTTCTTGCTGCCCTTACACCTGAATTTCCCTATGTGGAAATTTCCCCTTTCTTATTTCTAATTCTACAGTTTGGACGGGGTTTTCCATATATTTTGAATGAGTGAACGTTCTCCCTTCATAAGTTCCCTTCATAAGCAAGCCCTAAGATCCAGGCCTATGCAGATGTTTGTGGTACTCACAGAGTGTATCACAACCGAATCAACACAGTCTGGACTACAAAACGATTCATTCTGGGGGTTTTCTATTCATTTAGTTCCTTCTTTGATCAAGTCAGTATTTTTAATTTGTCCATGCCTTTGGAGTTTGGCTACTTATATAACTATATTCCTTGCACATGCTCTGGATTTGGAGTGAATTTGACTATTTTAAGATGCAACCATCTTAAAAAGGAACCCCTTAGTGCTCACGGATTAAGAAAGAACACATTGAATTTAAGCGTGATGTCAAAGAGAACAGTTAAGCTTCTCTACAGTTTTTTTGTAGACCTCATATTGGTACTACACCTAATAAAACTGTAATACTTCTCAAACGGGGGGGGGGATCTAAATTCTTAATGTATTTTCCCTACTTTAAACATTATTTTCCATCAAATTCCCTTTTCAATAAAGTGTCAAGATTTTTAGTGAGTTGTCTAAGAGATTTTAATTTTTTTTTTTTAAATGGTTTATCAAATGAAATGAAAACTGATGAGATACACTAGTCTGGTCTTTCAGAACTTACCTCAGTGATAAGCTAAAGATATTTCAGAGACTGTTTTTATATAGTAGCATTTCTACGATAAGGGGGTATATTTTAAATTATTTTATTTCTGTGACACAACAGTCCGCTGAGACCTTCTGAACAAGGTGTAGAAATCCCATCTCATATGGCAGAGCGAGCCTTTTCTAAGCTTGCAGGGACACCTGGTGGTGGAGGAGCTGAAAATATGGAAAGCTGGGGACATATTTCGATTGCCAAAAACTGGTTGACGTCTTCATTTTTGCAGTCGCATAATTAAGCGTATAGAGTTTGTCTTCTTTAAGCCACCACCACCAGAAATACACAACCCCTAAATGTAATCCACACATTTCACACATCAACCTATGTCGTTTTTCATTTCTACACAGTAAAGCTGATCTCAAGTAAAACTCTATAGGTTTTAGATTCCATTCCGTTCATTTGTTAGGTGTTTACGTCTTTGGGGGGATTTAATTCTATGATGTAATATATAGATGTGCAAGAGCAACAATAGCATACAATAGATTCATTTAAAAAAAATCTACAGATGCATTATGGGATCTTATTTGAAAGAAGTCAGATGGGCTCTGCACGCATCGTTCAGATAGCAAACTGAACCGATAGATTCCATGACACCCCCCATCAGTCGAGCACTCTCTCATTCTGATAGTTCACTTGCATCTTTCCTTCTCGTGCAAGGATTGTGTGATATTGCCTCATGCACTTGAAAAGCCTACGACTGCTGGGAGAGATACCAAGAGATTTCACACACACGCACACACACACAGATCTGCCTTCACGCATACACACACACCCTTTTCGGGCTGAGAGATGTGATGGGCAACTTCTGATTTCTGTTGACTGGTTGTTAAGACTCCACTCAGCCTTCAGGATCAATCGTAATAATTAGACAACCCAATTAACAATATTGTGGGAGGAGTCATAACAATCCCCTCATGGTAATTGTCTAGATGAACTAAATGTGTGTTATTTGTCAGAGAAAGAGTTTTTCTTCCCAAATAGCTGAGAGGTCAATCGATTCCCTCTTTAAAAGCTGTTGTGTGTTTGTGGGTCAGACGTCAACTGCCCTAATGCCCAAAGGCCAGGGCTGGGTGTGTCCAGTGGTCACTTGGCAAGAGCTGGGACAAGGTGGCGGTTGTGGGTTTGATTCCACAGCTGCCTCTCAATGTCACCTTTGTTATTTGTTTTTTTATGTATACTGGCCTGAGCACAACTATTTGTCACATGATCTCTGAAGCATTCGGGTGGCTGCCAAACAAATGAAACCATTACACAACAAAGCACACATGCAGCAAAGTTTAAAAAAAAAAAGAAGGGAAAAAAACAGTCCAAAGACAGAGATGAGTGATACTACAGAACTGGTTTATTTGGCTGTAAATCGACCTGATGAATGATTTCCTGACATTGACATCAAATATTAAAAGGACCTGGATCTCAGTTACATCAAATTGATGGGTTGAAAACAAAAAAAATTGTTACTCGACAAGGATTTATTGTCGCATCAACAGGTGATTGTTTGCTCGCAAAGTACAGCCGAGAGGAAGGAGGGAAATAAAAAAAAACGGTGGCTATTTTGTTTTCTCAGCACAGAAAAAGCAAAAAATCCTGAGCATGAATCACTGACAAGAGACAAACTCAGAGAAAAAGTCACGAGCTGATGAGAAAGTCAGTGAGACCGATGCAGTGGAGATCTTGAAGCCATGCAGTTAACATAATATTGCTTTCAAATAACACTCACACATGCTTTTTCCAAAATCTGACATGCATTGGGTATCTCGGGGGAGAGGGGGGGGGGTTAAGAGGTGTAAATACTCAACATTTTAGCAATACAAGTTCTCTAAATGTTTCTTATACTGAATATCTGCAGAGCATGTTACACACTTTTTTTTTTTATTCCAGCAATCCCTTTATTCAGTCGATTGTTATAAGCAAATGATAAATAAGCATTATTAAGTCAAAATAAAATATTAAATAAAATATATATTCAGTCTGGATCTGCCTTGATGTTGCTGATGTGACACAAGAAACCACAGAAAAATTCCAAATCACTACAGCTAGTTCAAAGATCTTTTTGTAAACGATGGATCTTTGCGAGCGGCCGTCAGAAGGCTGAGAGCACAGTTCAGATCACAGTGGTCACGGACATGGTCAGCATCTCCTCTGAAGCCACCTCTAAGGCGTGGTATAGTCAAGTCTCCATGTTTGGACTTTTTTTTATTTCCCCTTTCTTTTTCCAAGAAAAGTCTTTGTTTGTTGGCAATCTCTCTTTTTTTTTCCTCTCAAAAAGAACTACCAAATTCATGCAACTACCCTTCCATTAGCCTGAAACTGAGCCCGCTGCTGCTCGTGACGTGGGGGGGTTGACCTCCCGGGGGGCTGGAGGTGGGGGTTGGGGGGTGGTGGGGGGGTAGGGGGGCGTTTTAGGCACTGCCATCCTGCTTGAGCCGCTGACTGCGAGCCTTGTAGACCTCGATGAGTAAATCTTTGACGTACTGGATTTCTCGCTCCACTGACTCCGCCTTGTCGCGGAGCTCCCTGTTCTGTCCCTCCAGGCCGTGTAGCTCCTCCTCCAGAGAATCCAGCTCCGCCCTCTTCCGCAGCCTGTACCTGCAGCGGGGACAAACGGATCCGATTGGTCCTGCAGTTTGTTTACGGGCTTTGAGGAACTTCAAACATTACCGATCAGACCTAAAAACGTAACAACGGTTTCTCCCCTGTTCGCGCCTCGTATTTCTTCCCTGTAACTCCCTCTCTTGGAACAGCTGGTTTCAGACCGGCGAGCGTTAGTGTAACTCGGCCACAGACCAACAGGATTAGAAAAGGTGGGGCTGAACTTGGCACACAGCGAGGGACTTTCCATCTCACTCTCACTCTCTACGCAACAATTAGTGCACTGTGGTGGCTGTTTTACAAACACTCAGGCTTCGTTATCTGACTTTTGGACATGCATTTCTGAACGCGATTGGTGGAATTTGACATAGTTTGCGGGCGTTTCCGCTTTGTGTGTGTGGGGAAAATGAGAGCTTCACCTACCTGTGAGCAGCAGTTTTGTTCTGGTCTCTCTTCTTCTGCTTCCGCTCTCCGTTGCTGGAGTCCAGAGACACTGCGCTCATCACCAGGGCGGGCTTGACGGAGCAGGGCTCGTCCTTTAGCCTCTGGGTGGGGCGGTGGATGGGGGCGCCCAGCAGCGGCCCCTCGCCCTCCCCTCTGGACAGACATTCGTAGCTTTGGTCTGCAAGGCATTCCGGATAGAGGTAGTGGCCGTGTTGGGGCTCCACAGCTTGTGCTTGTGTGGGCGGGTCTAGGTCTCCTATAAAGCTATGGTAAGGCTCAGCGCTGGCCATGGACTGGTGGAAGTAGCCGTCGCCGGCCATCATTGTCTCTTGGGGAACACTTCCTGAAAGTCCTCCATCTTTGTTGCAGTGCAGGACCTCCAGCCCCGCACTGTCGTAACTTACGTTGACCTTCACGTTGTGCATCAACTGTCCCTCTCGCTTGTGGGGGCCGTCGTACGAGCCACCCAGGCAAAAGCCGCGCGCGATCTCCTCGCTGCAAAACATTCCGTCGGAGAAGCAGTAGCTCTCCTCCTCCTTCAACGACAAAGCACATTCTCTCACCTTCCTCACGCCGCCCAGGCTGTTCTTACTCACTGTCTTCAGAGTGGAGTAGTGGTTCACAGACACCTCTGTGCTCCCTGAGTAACATCCTCTGGAGCCCCACGTTTCGAGTCCCACTTCTTCGCCGACTTTGACCGCCTCGCTGAGGAGCCGGCGCCCGTTGTTGTGGTGGTAGCGGTGGTGGTAGCTGTAGGGGGCGGGCCGCGCGATTTTGGTTCTGCTGATGGGACCGCCACAAAAGCTGGTCAGGTCCAGTTCCCCTGTTGCCAGGGTAACAACCACAGGGCTGGTTTCTGATTGGCCGGTCCCGTACGAGCCGTAGGGTAACTGGTAGTAGGACTGGGAGCCCATGGCTTGGGCGCCTTTGTCACATTTTGAAGATTTGTCCAACTTGTTGGCGGTGGACGTGGACTCGGAGCGGAAGTAGTCCTCCAGCTGAGCCAGCTCCTCCTGCAGTAGGGAGGTCATAACCTCCAGATCTGACGGCACCTTGACATCCTGTTCTAACGGCGAGGGGGGAAGAGACGAGCTCGGGGAAGATTCAGTCGTTGACACAAATGAAGACAAATCAACTTTTTCCGTCATCCAATCTGAGTGACCATCACCTAGGAAAATTCGAACGGAAAATCACAGCAGTGCGTTAGAAAATCAGTACAACAATCCCATTTTCCACTTTAAATAAAAAATGGCAAAAACAGGCAAAAATTCTTAACCAAAGTAAAGGCTAAGGGCATCAATTTGAAAAAAAAAAATAAAAGGCTAAAATAAAAGCAAGCAAAATGTCCGAAAAGATCCAAAGCGAACAACTAACCGATCATCTGAAAATGATTGAACAGCATCGTCTGCATTCGATAAATATCCACTTAGCTGTACTCACTGTACGACATTAGCCCCGTGCTGCACTGCGGCTCCGACCTCGGGATGTGGAAAAATAAAAAAGTGTCTTGGCAAAACTCACCAATTAAGTGCTGCCTCTCCTCTGGCTCCGCCCCCGCGCCGGCCCCCGATTGGTTGCGGCTAGCCTGTCGGAGAGGGGGAGCGTTGAGCTCGCCTGTGGTGATGGGAGGAATTTTCCTGCGAAGGATCGATGCCGCCATTGTGTCGTCTGCTCCGATGGAATTGTTCAAAAGCACAAACCGTGCACTGGTTGGACGCGAGAGTTGCGGAAACACCTGTAGACCTGTGGCAAAAATGGGGAAAAATGTATGAATGCGTCCAAATTATTTTATGTCAAACCAAAAATTTGAAATTTTAAAACCACTGATAAATTGTCCAAAAATTTTTTTAATTCTGACTTTTTTTTAAAAAAAGTAACAACTTTAAAACAAATGTTTTGAGACAAAATCATTAATATCAAATTAAATTCACTTAATTTCACACTCACCTGTTTGATTTACGCAATTATTTCAATAAAAATGATAAAAATTTAAAACAAGAACAACTGTTCACATGCAAAAGAAAAATAAAGGCTAAAAATGACCTAAAAAACAAACTTTACTACTTTTCACTCCTTTTTTAAACAAATTTTTATGAAGTGTTTTTAAAAAAACACATAAAAATTAATAAATTGACACATAGATGTAATGTTACAGAATATTTTTACTAAAACTATTATTTATTTCCTGCTAATATTACCAGTAACAAATATCCAATGTACATAATTTATTTTAAACTTAAGCTTACTTCTAACTGTTAATATTCAGAGTAATAATGTAGAAAATAGTCCTGAAAGTTAACTCAATTCCAATTCTATTCGAAAGCTGAGTTTTAAATGTATACCTGCACTTGTTAGGTAAAAGAAGACATTATCCTCGGAACTTTCCTCAGCTGGAGGCACTTCCACTTTGCCCACTTTCCCCAAACCCTCTACTTACCCCATAGTTTCTGTGTAGTCTTTCAAGTGCGTTGCGAGAAGCAAAGCACGCCGAGCCGAATGTCGAAGAGAAGTCGGTCACCCTCTAAAAAGCCATATTTTCGCCTCTGAAAATTATGAACTCTTCATGTAGCGATTTATTGACGAACACTCTAGCAGACAAAGTTTTTAAATCCGCTACTTCTCCAACTCCTAATGCCCGGACCTCATCACAGCAGACGAGATTAAGGCGCAGTTTACAGAGTTCACCCGCTCGTTACGTCATGAATCTGGGGACTTTCCCATTATCCTGAGACCTCAAACTGTTTGAAAAACACGCAAAAACATCTCCAAAGCCCTCACCTATTCGCTTTTACAAGATCATTTTACTTGTATTTCGGTTTAGATGTAGTTTTTTATCACAAATATTGAAAATAAATTAAATAACTGCTCAGTTTCCAGCGGTGAACAGACGAACTCTTCCTTTTTTACACATAACAGTTTAAAAAGTCCCTATTTCCCTTCTTTATTTAATTCGTTCATACGCAGAAAATTGAGCTGCAATATCAACATTATTATCATCCCTAAACGAAACAAAACAGAGGTCGAGCTGTGAGCTAAAACCGTCCACAGCAGACTATTCGCTCGGTACTAGTTTTCGGCTCGCTGCGGCGGAAGGACATGCAGTTGCCGTTTGAGGGAGTAACTTCGGTTGCAGCCCTGTTGCATCAGATCCGCAGGGGATTCGCTGAGCGCAGAAACAATGTGGCCGCACCATTGGCTTATCGCGGGGAACTTTTCTATTTCTATTGGCCTGCCATCACCCTTAAACTGATTGCTAATCATTAGACATTATCACCAACCTGAGTACAGGGGTGTTTTGGGGGCCAGCCAGAAACGTGCACGCGCTTCGTTTGCTTCATAAATCTTCCGTTAATTATTAGTCCCAAAAAAGAAGACGCACAAGAACTCTTTTGATTGTTTGGTCAATTAAAAAAGTAATAATGTTGTGAGAATGTCATACAGAAAGGCAGGCTCTGACCTGATGTTTCGCTGAGGAGAAAACTTTTATACTCTCAAATTAGTTTGTTGATTAGTTCAAAATCATTTGTGGAGTGGAGCTCCAAATATGGCAGTTTTTGCATTAAACATAAAGAATTTTTAGCTTGTTCAGGAATAACTCAAATATCCAGCTGAAAACACAAAAAAGGGTCATAAAAACTTAAGAAAATGATTTCACATTCATAATACATATATATATATATATATATATATATGTGTGTGTGTGTGTGTGTGTGTGTGTGTGTGCGTGTGTGTGTGTGTATCTTCACCTTTACAGTACCTAAGGGTGTCTTGTGAAATGGAAATGAATGGAAAGTAATTATTTGCTTCAACCCATCCCTGTGTGGACAGAATGTCATGTCTCTTACACACTCACACACACACACACACACACACACACACACACACTCACACACACTCTCACACACACACACACACACGTAAATATTAAGGGGGAAAAAAACATCCACCTGCCACACTCTGATGCCTTCACGAATGTCACCATGTTGCAACAACGTCATTAATATTCATCAGGCCAGTCAAAACAATATCTTTCAATAATCATGAGATTTAATTAATTCAATAAAAATAAATCAGTCGCGAATTGCAAGTGCAGTGACTATAGACACGCACACGTATCAATGCATCATGTGACAGTTGTTGTTTTGGGGGGTCACAGTTAATGGTCAGACTGGTGGATTTGCCTTAAATCCTAAATGTGTGTGAGTTCCCTTTCGAAATCAGATTTACGTTCTTGTTTCTGTCCTCTTTTGGCTGCCAGTCTGACTGAGTTTCTTATGCCTTGACCTCTGAGCTGATGTCCAGCGTGACAGGCCGGACATGCAGAGGTCACCCAGGCAGACTGACACCCGGCGCGTCTCACCGGACTCATTAGTAAAACCGGTGTGTCTTCCAACTTGACTCGTTGGCTGGAGTAGGTCTGCCTATCCTCCCCCCTACAACCCCAAAAGCTGCCAGGTCTTTCTGTTGCTATAGTAATAGGCAACATTGGTGCACCCTTCTTGAAAACATGTTTTTTGGAATCCCGGGAGACGTGTATTTTAACAGCCTCCCCCTCAGATTTCCTACACGGTTATTGTTTATAAGCTGGCGATTTTGTGCATTTGTGCAGATGCAGCGTTTTTTCTTTTATTATGCCTGATGCACCTATTTAGTAACATATGAATTACTAATCATTCTAGGTCACAAAGAGACAATGAGACATGATCACATGCATATTAATCTCCTCTGTGACCTCAAACAAAATGACTTTTCAGATCAGTGATTGGATGCCCAAACCAAATCTTTTTTTTTCCCTTAAAAACTTTAACATAAACATAATTCATTCTAAATGGATACAAATATGTGTAGTCAACTCAAACATATTTTGAATTATTAAACATGCCAAAAGCAACATTTTTAGCTCCATGTTGAAATTCTTTTTGACAGATATCGATATTATTCCATGTAAATTTAACATAATTCCTTTTTTTTTTGCTAATATTAAACTGCAACTTAAAATTATTTAAACTAATTTATTGTCTGACCCCTATTTGAAATAATGATTAATCCTCAGTGACCCAGCTTGTTTTTTTTGTCTGTTTTTTTTTGCTGTACTGCGGCGAAATGGAAGCCTCCTCTTTGTAAAGCCTTGCCCTCCATCTGTCCATCCGTACTGTACAACCAAACAGGAGCTTTTTTTCCTCCAACGGTGCATCATGGGATAGGAAGAGAGCCTCCTTCAAAGACACGGACGGCCATGCGCTCCTCTATTATGGCACATTGGCATCAGTTACACCATAATTTCATCACCGGCAGCTCCCTGTGAATCCTGCTTACATTAACTTTTTACACAGATTGGCAACACACAGGCAGGGATGCATGGCAGTGCCAATATCTCCAACTCATTTAAATGTTGCACGCCGCTTGAATGCCCGGCCTAAACGTATTGTTATTTATTGACGAAGGGGGGTTATGTTTGCGTGAACTATTGGCACGCACCGAGCACAATCCCCTATAGTTTCCGTAAGGAGGATTACATTGGCAGGAAAAAAGGGGGGGGGATTTAAAAAAAAAAACAACAGAACGGGACTTCAAAGTGGCAAAGTGTGCAGGGCTTGCGTTTGAATGATGGCTGGCGTATTGTTTTGATAAGTGTTCCCCCGAGGAGGACATGCGAGGCGGCGTGTCACTCGCTCCTTCTCATCTCTGCAAACGGGTGAGCCCAAAGCCGAGGGGAAACGTCAGAAACCGGTCGCAATTACTGCAGAGTGGCTGTACTGACACTCACATTCCAGATCAAATACACAAACCAAACGCTAATTAATTAATGGGCTTTAAATGCATGCCCGAATTAACACGTTACATCCAGAGATGCTGCGGATGATACTGCTGAGCAGAAAAAAAAATATCAAAGGGGAGAATATCAAATGTAGACAATTTAATTCCCCTCCCGTGACACACTCGTCGGATTACATCAGCCCTCCCTGAGATAACAATAAGTGCTCGTTAACAGACACAGACACACCACGAATTTCCTTGTTTTGTTTGCTGTGAGTGTAAAACTTTAATTAATTACTACACCGTGTCCGCTTAGGGATGCAAATTATAGCGGCAGCATTAATAAACGTGAATTAATTTGTCTGTTACTTTGACCATGAATGTGTTTTGTAAAGTGAAATCACGAATAGCGTACAAATCTCTGATTTGTTTGAACATCCTGGTGTGTTCACTAATTGGTTTGATTAAAAGCTGACATGTAAAAGTTGGATGTGGGAATTAAACACAGCCTCTGAACGGGCATCATTCAGAATGTAAGCGTTTTTTTTAATAATAATTACATTTGTTGAGAGGGGGAATGAGTCTTTTTAATCTGTTTGTGTTCATGTTTATTTTTTAAATTCCCTTTTGTCATTAAATAGTGTGGAGTTTGTAGCACTTTGGATAATAACTAGATTAACACACAGCTGATTTTTTAAATATTTGTTAAAACCTCTTAACAAATCAGATTTCAAATATTTTTTTTAAATTATTCTTTGACGAATAAGTTTGAGCTTTTATTAATACAGAAATAGTGGGTTTGGATTTGACTATCTCCTCACTTACTCTGGTTTTCTAGCAGGTTTACACACTGAGCCCATTTACATCCAGAGAAACCCACATTAATAGATTACTGTTGTCTTTCTGAGGGTGTTGTAACGATGTTGTGGTTTGGGGAAAGTGCACCAAGCAGTCCCCGCAATTTCAAGTCATTGTGGTCTCATTAAGGCAGGGTGTTGGTAATATTCTGCCTTTGATCTGGGAAACTGAAGGGGGACTTTGTTTTAGCGCAGTTCAAACAGTGTTCTCTGTGCCCCCCCAGCTTTTCCCCAGTGGGGGCAGAAGAGCTGACAGAGAAAAAGGGTCGGCGCGTGGTTTGTTTTTTTTTCTACCGGGTTCAGGTGAGACAGACAAAGGTGGGGGTTGGCTGGTGGCATCTTGAGTCCATTCTAGGTTAACCGTTATGATTTGCTCAACAAGGGAGATGCAGCACCGGGGTTAAACTGAGCATGCTCAGTGC